CAGTATTCTCGGGGGGTTTTCTTAGTTGATGGGGTATGATGACGAGTAGCTTACAGCAACTAATGTTTGTAAAGTTTATATTCAACAAACTTCAGATAACTGAAATGCTTGATCTACTAACACTAGATTTTTTTCATTTATCCTGTGTCCACATAACCTGCTCTTCAGCAAAGGTTGCATAGCTTCACTTTGATGTACTGGGACATCACTCTTTTCTAAACTCTTCCCTGTTTTTCTTTCATCAAGAGTTTATTGGTTTAAGACTTTGCTGTGTGCCCAGTTTTACTGGCTGAACCAGCTGAATGTGTTGGTTCTCAGTTGAAGGATCAGGTTGCTCAGCTTGTTGGATGTTATTGCCAGCTTTGTCAGTTAAACTGCTTCTCTTAATCATAAAATATTTTCTCCAGTTTTATAGCATTTGTAACAATGTTAACACACAAAATAAACCAACTGCAGCAGTGTTGTCCACCAGGTATTATGAGGACAACTTGACTCTCTCCACTAGTCCACTTTATGTGAATGGGTTATTGGAGTGGGGAAAAGGCCACGAGTAAAAAACATGTGATGGGTTTTGGGGGTCGTTTTCTCTAAGAGCCTGAGTAAATATAGCCTGTATCTGAGGCCTATCTGACGCCCAGCACCAACACTCCCCAGGACCAGACAAACAGACTCATGTGGGACTGGACTCTGTCCTGCCACACACACACAAACACACACACAGCAGGACAAGAGACGAGGCCAGTCAGGTGTGAAATGCCTGGGTGGGGTTTTTAGGGTCCATCTAATAAAGGAGCATTTGCGTGAAATTATGTTAATGCATGTTCATAGCCCATTGAAACATTCTCTACAAGGCATTAACCTCCAAGGGAGATTAAACAAGAGTGGCTCCCTGAGTGCTCACAACTATCAAATATCCTTTCAAATGTATGTGGCTCAAAATTAAGTGGTATTACTCTGCTTATTTGTATGGGAATCAGGTTGTTAAAAGTGCTTCACACTGAATTGAGGTCCATAACATATTTTTTTGCTGAGTGTATTTGTCTCAACAAAGTCTAAAATATTTGATTTTGTTTATTGCTTTTAAAAAACAGACAAATGTTATCGTAGTTCAGAATTGTTTACATTTAGGAGCACATTTAAAACGAAGACTAATAATTCAGGTGCCTGTCTTTAAAGGTAGGGTAGGTACGTTTGAGAAACCGGCTCGAGACCGCTAGAATTTGAAAATACAAAACCGGAGAAAATCTGCCACTTCCTTACAGAGCCCCTCCTCCAACACACACGAACGCGCACATGACCAATGAGGGCACGAGATAAGTTTGTGCACAGATGGAAGTCTGACAGGCAGGTAGGCCATCCAGTTACTTTAGCCGGGCCGGCTAAAATGATTGGTCGTGCTTTTTACAGTACTACGGCTTCCACAGATGACATTTTTGTATGGATTTTTTGTCAAAGCACTTAAAGTGGACCTATCATGCTATATTTGAATAATATAGTGTAGGACCATACCTATATAAGGCATATTTATACTTTTTTCTTTTCAAAATACCAAACAGATCATGCATTTTAGCCATGCCTCATTTTGCTCAATTTGCACTTTTTTTTAGCTCTGCTCTGCAAGGGCAGATTCAGTGAGAACAGCACCATCTACAGGCCTGGCATATGTACTACAGCGTCTCCAGCGCTTTCGAATGGGAATGGCCGTGGCTGTCTCCTCCTGATTGGTGGAGTTGGCCCAATAGCCGTAGCGCCACCGTCCTGACGTCAGGACAGTGTTCAAATCTGGATCAGTTTTGATCAGATCCGTTGCAGCCCCTTTTTTTAGAGATTTGGGTATCGAGGAAAATAGAGAGGGTTGTGTTTTCTGACACTTGGTGAGTTCCCTGGAACACCGGGGACACATATTCATGTATAAAAGACGTACAAAGGTGCATTTTGCATGATAGGTCCCCTTTAAGATATTCATTGCTATCGGGATGTTAAGAGCATTCCATGGAATATAACAAAAAGTGTATCTCGAGCCGGTTTCTCAAACTTACCCTGCCTTTAAAGCTGAAATCGTCAAGTTAGCCAACTAGCTTAGCTTACAGTTTTTCTAACAATGGTGTTTAGCCAGCTAGCTATGGGTACTTAGCACTGTTGATTGCGGGTACACAGCCTTTTCAAGCAGGATTTTATAAAGGTTAAAAATAATAATATATATAAGATTAACACATGTAGTGGAAATATAATGTAACAGCAATGTAATATACATTTCAAAATCTAAAAACTGCCACTGTACTCAATTAGATGTCCCAAAGTTTGTTAACTTTTTGCAATACCAAAATGTTTGGGGAATGCTTTTCTGATCATAAATGTTACAAGAATCTATATTTAACTTGATGCCAACTCAGGCCAATTAACAGTTTGTTTACATGGTATTCAACCCATCAAAACAAGAGTTGTCTTTGCCTGGATGTGATTAAAGTTGAGCTGTGGTCTGATAAGGTGGGGACTGTTTTTATAACAGTTCTGTGGAATCCCTTTACGCCAGAGTTGCACGACAGAGTGAGAAGCGTGTGCTGAGTGAGATTTGACTGAACCTACTTTTCATGCACATGTGAAAGAGAGACAGAGTGTGAGACGGAGAGAGAGGCCTTATGGTGACTCAGCATGACAAGGTCTGCGGGGCCTGTATGACCTCGTTCATCGAGCTGAAGCCCCGGCTCTGTTTCTGCTCTTCTCTGGTGGGATTCACAAGAGGAACGTGAGACGGAGTGACAGAAAAACAGTGAGGGGAAACATAACCACAAGTGCTGAAGTGGAGAAGACAACACATGTTAGGGGAAGAAAAAAACACAAGTGACAAGCAAAAACGTTGAGTAAAAAAATATGAGAGAGATCACAAACAGAGAACAGCGAGCTGAGATAGTGAAAGATAAACAGTGACAAAAAGTCAGAAGAGAAGGGGACCAGAGCCGCCTCACTGCAGTAACAACCAGTAAACATAACCACTGCAAGGAAATTCATTCTGTTACGGCAAGTGTTTAGAAATCTGTGACATGATTCAGCTTTAAAAAGTGCAACATTTCCCAACACACTGGTGTGGCTTCTATCAAGCCTTTTCTTTTACATAGGCTACACTTGCTGTCTTGTTTCTACACACAGCTACTGAACCAAACGACACTCCGCTGTCATCCCTGAAAAAGGAAAAGCAGAATCTGTTTAAGGGGCACATACTGTAGTAAAGCAAGTTTACTCAACACAAACACTTAACCTGTGAGAATAATTATCATGTCTGTGGGTCTGGAGGGGCTTTCTTAAAAACAAACCCTGATGCCATGGAGACTTCATATTTCTAAGAAAAAGTGAAGAAGTGTATTTTTGATCGATAGCAAAGAATAATTCAATGCTCATTTTATCATAATTACACTTCTTGTTTGCTGCCTATGCTTTGAACTCTCTCAAGTTTTAAACATGGGAATCTTTTTACAATCTCAACTATCCTTCCCACATGATGTTATTGTGATATACTTGTCAGACTGTGTAAAACAGGTCAGGACATTCAGCTTCTGCTGCTTTTTAAATTTGGACAATTTTAGCTAGCCATGCTAACGGTGCAGGTCTATTTTGGTAATTAAATCCACCAACTTGATCCAGAACAGAAGTGATAACTGTTGTAAGGTCTTGGAATTTGGTTTAGACTTTCATATTTTCTTCTAAATTAATTGCACTTTTCGCTGTGATCCTGTAACTATCAGAAAGCCATTAGTCGATAATATTGAATAAGTACATGAAAAACTACAAGGGGTTTAGTTAGTATAGCTTAGTTCTCCTCCAAGGCTACATTCTTTAAGCTAATGCTAATGAAAGTTACAAATAATGTGTGTATCCGACCCATCATTTGAGTAGTAGCCACTTATGTTATCTTGCTTACAAACAGGTAACGAGGTGAAAACACATCATCCTTAGCGGAGGTAAAAAATATAATTTGCATTATTATTAGCAATATGGATTTAGCGCTATTTAGCTTATTCCAGCATGCTAACAAGCTACATTAAGATGATGAACATGGTAAAAGTTGTATTTTCTAAACATGAGAATAATGCTAAGCAGGTAGCAGTTGTTTGACATTTAAGCATGTTATCATGTTGATTTAAGCATTTAGCTCAATGAGCTGCTACTATGACTGTAGACTCTTAGTCTTACTTTTATCTGCCTCTTTCTTTCTCCATAATGGAAGTACATTTCTTAACTGCAGGACTCTCCTTTAAACTAACTTGGGAAACCAAACACAACTATTAGAATACAAATCATGTGAACTGAAACTCACTGACATGGGTGTCCACATAATTACAGGTATGTGGAACATTTCGTGAGTAAATAAGGACTGAGTGGATATAAATCAAAACATTGCACCAGATAAAAAGCATATCCTTAATGAAAGGCTGTATTGTGAATCATTACTGGGTGGGTATATTGTAAAGACAAGATAATGGATGTGTTTTTGTTTCCTACAACCATGCCTGTGTTTTGTCCTCCAATCCAAAGTGAGGTTTTGAAGTGACACATCTTCCCAAGTAGCTGATGTAAGCATAAACATGTAGAGACACTGTTGGGAAACGGCAGAGAAACCAAGACTTGAAAACCACTTTCTGTCAAACTAAACAAAACTGTGAATGAGATAAAAAGGCAAATGTGTTGGCGAGAAAACACCCAGCACCCCTGGCAGGTGGTGGTGTTGTGGCTTGATAAGTCTGAGCCTCCTACCCCCCTCCCCTCTGTTCCCCTCATGTACAGGATCTCTAAGCACACACAGCCTTGATAAGCACACACACACACACGTGAACCCTGTCACCTCACAGGATTTTCACAGTATCATCACAGCAGGACTTGCAATTTAGCCATTTTATCCGAGTACAGTGATGCTTCAATAACACATAACATGTATGATTAAAGTTCCCTTTTTGACATGTATTTTGCTGATACATTTCAACAATCAAAGAAGAAGTCAAGAGTCATCTTTATGTACAAAGTCTTTATTTCAATTTTTTTTGGTATGGCTTCTTTGAAGAGACTGTAAAAGACATCTTTATTGAAAAAAAATGTAAAGAATTTCTTATGCAACCGGTCAAGGATCTACAAAAGAGCATCAATTGTAGTTGCCGTGCACACAACTCGTCGGACATCGTGACAGGACATAAATCAAAATGAATACGACACCTGTGTATCTGCAGGTTAAATGACATCAGTGCCACAACAAGAGTCATAGTAACAAAACAAAGAAGCTATCTTAACTTAGTACCTCATATAAATACCTACATATAAATATTGTAAATGTACTTGATGACTGAAAACATTTTAAATTGCTGTACATGAATGTCCTCAACAATCTCAGTGAGAAAAAGAAACACACTGGTGTTTGAGCTCAGTGTCAGCTACCTTTCAACAACGATACACAGCGCTCCTGCTCCCCGTCGCCCACGTACTGCATGTGATTATCTACATCCATTTGAAATGATCAAGACCCAAGCAAGCCAGATAAATGTGACCGACTGCTGAAAGGCCAGTTACAAACTCTCTGCACTTAGTTTCTGTAGTGGGGAGGGGAGCGCTTGAAAAATCAAGAGATTCAAAAAAGGAGTTTCTGTATTATTAAGGCCTCTTTAATTAAGAATACAAAAAAGTGTAGTCCTGACATAAAAAAAACAATGGAGCTCCCACTGTCATTTATACTGAAACGTTCTTTCCGATTTGTCCTTGAGGTGAAATCTCATCGTCCTCTTGTGTCGTAGATCTGGAGGTTTTTGTTCACGGGGCAGTTCTACCCTGTGAAGGGCACTAGGATGGGACCACAGAGAGGCTTAGGGCTGGCTGTATACCCTTCTCCCTTCTCCCCCCCATGTTTGCCTTCACCCATCTCCGACTGTCCCAGAGTGTCCCAAAGCAGCAGTGCCCTTAATATCCGGCCCCTGACACTGGGGGTCGGGAGGAAAGAGGTGTGACAGCTCTCCCACCATCAGTATGTACCACGGACACACAGGACTTCCACTGATTGAGCCAGAACAACATTGATAATAATGGCATACAAACAAACATTGACATTAATACAATAATAGAGGACGATAAAAATAATAATAATAATGATAATAAAAACATGAAGTGTCAGCTTCTGGAAGCCCTTGGAAGCAACCACATACTTTAAGCTGTCTAGTTTCCCAAACGTGAACCTTGACAGCCTCCCAACCCTTTTACCCTTTAGCCAACGAGCAAAGGGTTCATTCCTGATCGTATAGTGCAATAGTCCCACCCTTTTTTTTTCTTCCTGAAAGCCCCTGCTGATGATAGCTGGGTCACCCTTAAAGGTTTCGCCATCATCTCTTTATAAAAAGGTCCGCATCCACTACTCCCTCCTCCACCGTCTTCGTCTTCTTCTTCGGTGCTTCCTTCACAGGCTCACTGCATGCGGTCCGGCTGGATGTGCTGCTGCTGGGCGTAGTGCAGGAAGGCCTGTCCCGGGCCGGCGGCAGAGGGGAGGGAGGCGTGGACGGAGGCCGGTGCCGTGGCGGCAGGGGCTGGTCCGGCGCTGGCTGTGGGGCTGGTGGCGTAGCTGTACCCCAGGAAGCTGGCCGGAGAGGCGGCGTACGGGTACTGCTGCTCAAAGGCCGCCTGGGCGTACTGGGAGTAGGCGGCGCTGTAGTCCATGTAGGGGCTGCTACCGACGGAGGAGGAAACCTGAGAGGGCAGCACCATGCTGGGCTGCATGTAGGCCTGTGGGTAGACGTACTGCTGGGCCAACCTGTAGACAGACGCAAAGAGAGAGGAGGGTTATTAGATGGTGAAGCAGAGAAATCTCAGAGCCTTGCTTCTATTGTTTACATTGCTCCCAGAAGGCGAGCTTGCTGGGAATATAAACTCTCTGGTGGTGTTCTGAAACTAGGAGATCCTCACATGGAGATCCACTGTTATTAAAGGCTACATGAAGGAGAGGAGGAGGTTAGCAGGCGAAGGTGACTCAACGCTCAGTCTGTGTCAGTTAGTAAAACCTACAAAACCTGTTAGGTAGAGCCTCCTGAGGTAGACGGGAGGGGGATGGCGGGGGTGAATGACAGAGACAGCCGTTACTGGCAGGTTTTCAAGCTCAGGCATTGACAGAGTGTTTTAACAGCTGCTGCTCTTCACTCGCTCAACACACGCAACCACACAAAAAAGGGAAGTTTGTGAAGGCAGAAGTCTCCTAGTTCTCACTTAAAATCTGCTAGGTGATGATGCTAGCCGGGGGAGGGGAAGGGTTGGAGTTCAGAGTTGGGTGTCAGGCCAGATTTCACATAAAGCCCATTACAGCAGTGGGGTCCGGGGACTGCGCGGTCTTTCTTTGCCACTTTATGAGATAAGGAAAAGGGAAGAGGAGAGTCTATTTGAGTCAGATCATGAAGTGTCCCTCCTGGGTTTGTCGTCTACAGGGAGGGAGGGTTGTGGCGGAGAGAAGAACCCCTCCTCTTTCATTTAACAGGGTGATGTAACCAACTTTTTTTCATTAAAAGCACTTATCGTTGACATTTGGGACCCAGACCACGAGACAAAGACAACAAAGTCACAACAAAAGCCACTTTGACGTACACTACTGAGCTGCATCTCAGTACTGACAGAAATCTTCCCTTCATGGTCTGGATTTAAATTTCAGTGTTAGCTTTTTCTTCTTCTATGATTCAATCCGGCAGAAGAAGAGGATCAGTAATGAGAGCCAGCCGGGAAATCAACACAGCAAAAGATGGAAGCATGCATGGATAGGGATGTCATCACGCTTTCACACAAACACACACTCTCACACAAACACACACTCCCTCTCAAACACCCCCCCCCCTCTTCCACCCAACCACCCACACACACACCAGTAACAACTGCAAACCCCAAACCATGCCATAATAGGGAAAGAGTCACACCGCAATCAGCAAAACCTCTTCAGTTCATATCACACAAGAGAGAAAAGATAAAAAGGCACTCCAATCCATCACAGCACACCGCACTGCACTCTCACGCCATCACTGGCACCTTGGAGTGGGGCTGGCTGAGGGAGGAGGGACGGGGAGAGCGAGGCAGACATTTTCTGTCAAACCCCCCCCCCCCCCCCCTCCTCTGGACTACTCCTGCACTGTGGGCATCTTCTGATCCTCTGCTGGTACGCTGGTGGTCAGCTGGCAGCAGGAAGCAACCATGGCAGAAGGTTGGATAGGAGGAATATCGTCAGTAACATTTAGGATGGGATCAGGAAGCATTTGGGGTACTGACATGTGTTATCAGTTATCTGACCGTTAATTGAAATTAAATCAATAGATATTCAAATAGCAGGACACTGATTGTGGTGCTGCATATATGTGCTGCATATATATCACACCTACCAATCCAAATGTTGTGTAATGTTCAGTAGCCCACATAAAAAGTATGATTGCAGCACAATTTGTAAAAGAACAATTGCTTCTAATAAGATACTATGGTGCCTCTAAAACAACCTAAAATGCTGAATTTTCCTTAGGATTTGTGTTAAATGTTTGGTTTTGAATGCAATGTCTACTAGATATTGGCCAATACACAAGTTTTATGACTCAGAATTGGTATTAGAAACAAAAAAGAAGTGGTTATGAGACATCCTTAATGGCAGCTTCAGCTAAGAAACCTGCATAAATGTCCTGTTTTTCCACCATTGAGGAAGATATTTCAAACAACATGGTAGAAAAACAAGTTACACCAGCTCAGTGAGACATCTGGCTCATGAAGGGAACATTTGAGACAGACATAAAACAAGATAACAGTGGCACATAACAAGTGAGCATACGCACAGGAAGGTAACCCCCACCCACCCACGAGAGCAATCTACCCTCACAGTGCTATTGAGCCTCGTACAATGATGCATTCACTCAGAGATGACCATATATTAATGCTGTGGGGCATTTGTGCTTTCACTCGTATGATGTATAATGAGCCTGCCTTTTTTCCGTGGCCTTGACAGTGTGTCGCCACAGGCAGTTCGCCTTAATCCAGGCTTAAAATCACGTGACCTTGTTTAGGTAAATAGAAACTGATGTAAATAATGTACGCCTGAAGGGACTTAAGGGTAAACAAAGCCCTCCTGTATTAGATCTCTGGTGTGCATAAAGAGATGAAGATTTGAGCTCTATGTGAAGAGAAAACAGGGACGTGGCTAGTTGGGGACAGTAACAACAAGCTCCCGGGGCCACGGAAATGCCAGATGCCAAGTGCATTGTGGGGCAGTGGCAGGGGAATGTGGCTGACGGCCAGAAGATCATAGGTCAGCAGTATTTTTGCTGACCGCCAGTCTGTTTCATAAAGCGTCACTCACTGAGACACAAGAGGAAAACATTTGATGTCCGTATGCATTTACAAATACAGGCCAGAGTAATCATCATCACTGAGGCAATCTAATGAGGCGATGTGAAAAGCCTGAGCGATAAATCACACCGAGCCGCTAAATATTTCTACACGATAAGAGAAATTACCTTCGGCGCATGACTCACCGCAAAAGAAAGTGTGAAAACAGACAGGGCTGGACTGGGAGGGGGGATTAAACAACACCTTACAGTACTGGTAAGGCGACTTCATATTCCTCTCCTCTTTGTTGATTGTGACTATTCTTTGGCAGCAGCGGTAGAAAGAAAAAAGGTGTATTGTTTGGCACCTGGAGAGGTGGGTTTCCTAGGGAGCAGACTGCCTCATTAAGCATTAAGTCCCAGAATACACCCCCAGATACCCTCCCCCCCCCTCAACTCCCTGCCCCCTCCCCCCAGTCTCACAGAGGTGTCAGTTTTCAGGCTCTATCTGACACTTCAGCTTCAATTGGAGAAATTAGAGTTGAAAACAATACAAATTATGTGGGAAAGAGAAGGGAAGTGGATGAAGAAGAGGAGGAACTGATGCATGAGTGGAGATGAATCTGCAAGCACACTGAAAACTCCCCCCCTCCCCATCAAAACTATGTCCCTGGCCTCAGTGACCCCCCCTCTGGCCCAGTCCCCATCATCTGCTGACCACAGCAATAAACACACAGCAGCAACCATCACACTGCTGCCACACGCAACCAGCGCTGTTTAAAATCCTACTTCAGATCATGTCCTCACACCATATGTTGTCAAGGGGTTTGGGGGGGTAGAAGAGAGGCTGAAAGAAAAGCCACTTGTGCGCTCTGGATCTTAGGGAGGCCTGCGTCTGTCAGCTGGCGAATAGAGGCGGGTGGACAGGTGCTGTGAGCGCCTCTCTGGGGTGGTGGTGGTCGTCAGAGGAGATTAAGGGGGTGTAACACGAGCCAGCACCTGTCGGGCACATGCCTCAGAGAAGCACTGTGCTCCACATTTCAAACCCTCTGGGTTTCAGTGGCATCTATGCTCACTATGGCAGCAGGAGCACGGGACATTTGAGGGACTTTCCTCCTACGGACATGATGGGACATGTTCATAGTGGAGTCCGAGATTAATCATTCAGACCCAGTGATTGCTTACAGAAATGACTGATTAACACATCATGAACCTACAAAGCCACAAAATGTTTCTTCTTTTGTCACTGGGGATTGTCCTGGGATTTTTCCGAAGCTCTTAAACACTCAAAATGCCCAGAGTTACATACTGGATAGAGCTACGACTGATTCATTTATTACTGAACGTTTAATTCATGAAATGTCAAGAAAACAGACCCCACAGCCTCCCAGTGTGCACGCCTGAATCTAGCTCATATTACTCAAACTGTAGTTGTTGTAATTCAAGCTTGAAACATGCGTAAACAGCTGATGATCAGAACTGTTGCCCATTCATTTTGACCTTATGCTTATCTGTAGATCATGTCATAAAACAGAGGAAAATGGCTATGGTGAAAAAACGAATTTACTAAAAATCCTCAAATTCAAAAAGTTGCCAGCAAATGTTGCCACTAATGCGTGATAAATTACTAAAATAAGCTGTTCAACATTGTTTTTTTATTGGTTTTCTTTTTAATCTAATGATGAATACCACTCATATCTGTAGTTAGAAATGTTAGTTTGTATTTCTATAGGCACCATGTATCAAAACCTATACACAAAACCACTTTTCTAGAGAGTCAACTCGACTATTTTTATCTCCCAGACAGATCTGAGGTTTGGTGTGTAAAACATGAGTGGTGGTGAAGGATGATATCCGAGCTGCGGGGGGTGCGGAGGCTGCTCATTAGCCGTTTAACAGACCATGGCTCCTAGACGCTCTCCAGGCTGTTTCTACAACACATCCACCTGTAGCAGGCCTTCTCAGGCTGGTGCCCCACGAGGACGAAAATGGGTTGTATCCGCATATTTCTCTTGCGTATAGCCCTTTTTGCCACACGAGGCCGTAACTAAACGATAGAAACGGACCCCGCAAATGATAACGGGTCCAAAGGGGGATAGATCTGGGAACGGAGCGCTCTGGGGGGGGGGGTCATACGGCTCCGTGTGATCACCTCTTTACGATCATTTTGTGATAATGATGACGCAATAGCCCTGCCTCCCCCCACCTCTGCTGCTCACCCCCGCAAAAGTAAACTGCACACTGAATTCAGATTATTTATCTTTATCTCGATATGGACATAAACGCGAGTGAAGTCTAATCTGACAGGACGGAGACACGCAGCTCCTGTGTGTGCTGCATCACAGCGGGAGCAAAACACACACTTCAAGTCAGATCATCACCCTTAGCTATTTTAATTACCTCTCAAACTACCTAAACTAGTTATAAATATGTTTATTTTTTACTGTCGGCCGGGTCACTCATTACTGGATCAGCTGCTGCATGAGACAGACACTGACGCTGTCAGAAGAGAGGAAAAAGAGAGGACAGGCTCCGTGTATTTTATTATTATATATCGTCGTTATTCATTTGTTTTAAAGCTTAATAAATAACAATGAAGACCTTTGACCGGCACTTTTATAATTTTGTCCGGAAGATTTAAACTTTAACACACGTTGACCGGCGAAAAACTCTGCCCGGTTCCCTCGGCCCCCACCACGGTGAATAAACAGAAGTGCAGCCATGACAACCATGCTTCTTCGCTGCTTTTGTGGATGAAGTTACAGCGCCACGTACAGGCTTGGCATATGTACTGCAGCTTTTTCCAGTGGTTGGAGCTAAACGGAGCTGTCTCATGTGAACAGACACTATCCGGTGTATATTGCGTGTGGACGGAAGCTTTTTTGCGATTGCGATTGCGTTAATCCTATGTGTTTTGCCGTATGCGTTCCCGTGGGGCACCAGCCTCAGTGACGGAGCCTCAGTGAGAGTCACACGTTCACCTCTGGAATGCTTTTCTATTACCACAGACGTGCGAAACATCACCCGGCCCTACAAAACTCAAATATGCTAATGGCCTACTTCTGGAGTTGCATCTGGACACAGAAACTGACATGTACTTTCCAGAGGCCCTGTTTGTCAAAGTAAATGGAGGCCCAGTGGCGTCCCACACAGTGAAATACAACATCGCCCACTCCCGCTCACTTACCCATACTGCCTCTGGATGAGTGCTGGGTGAATGGGCTGCACTCCGATGGATATGCCTGCAAGATAGGAGGCTGGCTGTCAGACACACACATTTGCATTTACAGAGGAGGACCAGAGAACAATACACAGAGGGCACAGCGAGACAGAGGCAGCGTCTGTTTCTAACCTACCACTGATGGAACAACAGTTACAAATGCGCAATAAGCAACAGTAAAGCATGTGTGCATTGGAGAAACCGAGTTATTTTGTATGTAAATATGAAATATGCTGCATATGGATTGGACCAAGACTGCCTTGACACGGGTACTTTTTAAACCAGGTTTGTTTTTGTTTTGTCTGGTCATGTGTTTTATGCTGTTCTCACCATTGGTTGAGAAAGGAAGTATCATTATTTTAACCTTGGTTTGTATTAGGGCTGCTCGATTTAGGCAAAAATCATAATCTCGATTATTTGGGTCAATAATTGATATCACGATTATTAAAAACGATTATCCATTTACTTTGAAAACATCCATTTAGTGAAAACATTTTTTTGAACAGTATGTTTTTAACAGTTGATTACCCTGAAGTTTAAGTATAATTCAACTGAAAAAACAATTAAAAAAAAAAAATCGTTTTATTTCGATTATGTTGTTTTCATAATCGTTGCAAGCCAAAATCGTAATTGCAATTAAAATACGATTAATTGAGCAGCCCTTTGTTTGTATAGCTTTTCAAGAGTACAATTCAGATACTTTCAAGGCACATTATCAAAGCTTTATCATCAGTGCAATTGCACAAAATAAAGATTGAAGAATAACTCTTAACCCATAGCAATAAATGCATGTTCTAACTTTGTAATTGTATATACAAATGTGACTCAACTGTACGTTTTGATCATTATATGTTTAGCTCCTTTGTACAGTGAGATGCAAGAACACAAACATTTAAAATCAAGCAATTATGTGTCAAGGCTTTTTACAAACCTTGTTCCACAAACTATTTGTTGATTTAGGAGACCTCCAATATTTCTCTCACCTGTCTGAATGCTGCGGGGTTTGGCCCCCAGGTAGGCCAGGTTCACGTTGGCCTTCCTGCCATCGATAATGGGGTTGGGATCCTTGCAGGCTCTCTCTGCTGATCCTCGGTCTGTCATTGTCACCTGGTAACAAAGTCAGACTTGTCAACAAGGTCTCACAGGAACAAAAATCATTATCTGGAGTCAGGGTCAGACGGTGTCCCCGGCTGGTTATACATTAACTGTTCAAGCTAAACAAAAACACTTGAACTAAACAGGACTTGGTCTGTTTGCCTTATCATAAAAATCCCCCCCTACAGGTTTCCCACTGTTGAGATTTCCGTTTGTCTTTAGAAAACTACAAACAAAGAACAATGATAAGCTTTGAAAACTGCCCACAGCAGCAGTGCCACTCAGCAGACCTGCTGAAATATGGTTCTGGGAAGAGCTACAAGGAGCTTATCCAATTAGGGACAAAATATTAAGAAGATCGGTCTAAGTCCCCCCACCCCTCGTCCTCCTCTCTGCCTCCTGGCATTAGACGGGTCCTTCTGTTTTGATTGCCACATTTTGCCAACTCGGAGGCTTCAGTCACCTCTCCATGTGGACAGAGCAGTGTATATAGGCCACCTCTTGCATTGTTTAAGAGGACGTTTTTAAAAAAAAGCCTCTTCATAGTGTAGGGATCCGGAACAAAGCCCACTCCAGGGCCTGTGTTGTGAACACACAGGAAGGAACAAGGCTGTGTTTACACTGTGAAGAGGGGGGGGGTTCTCCTAATCCACCTCTAAAGTGTGTTTAGAAAAAAGGTGCGCTCAGCTTTTGGGCGCTTCCCTACCTCCCCTCCTGCTGCCAGCTATCTCTTTGACTAGAGCAATCAGAAGAAGCATGTCTCCTCTTGGCAGACAAAAACTAGAAAGTGCTGATCTACCTCGGTTATGCTCAACTTGTCCCAGGCAGCACCCACATGGCCCCGAGCCTGTCTAACCTGAATCACCGGCCTCCACACACAGCCGTTAAGACACAAGACGGCTTTTCCCCAGGGAGCTGATGTGTAAACACACCCAGAGCAATTGTCTTACGATTCCCCCTTCAGAAGTAAACATGCACACATAACAGTTTTCCATTCCTTCTTTGGCCCGACAGTGCATTAGTGCTGCTGATGCTTCTTTTCAAAGTTCTGGTAAATATTTGCATTTTTTTCATGCTGCTCCTGTTCTTTGTGACAGTGAGAGAATAACCATCTTTGTCTAACTTTAACAGGATAACGTCATCTGTTATTGTAGCTTTAAAATTAGACATCTGACTTAAGGCAACTTCAGCCAAGATCAAGTTTTGATTAATGTTGTGGTAAACAGCACTTTTCCCACCAGAAGTCCAGAAAGCCAGTCAGACTAGGTGAACCCCAGTTTATATATTAACTTCCAAGTATGTTATATGGCTTGGACTGTCCACACAGACTGAAAAAAAGATACGATCAAAGGGGACATTTAACACAAATTTGATAGGACAATTTGTTAACGTAGGAATTTTCTATCTCAGTAGCCAAGATGTGATGCAAATCATGTGCTACGGCTGACTGCTCTTGTCCCTGACAAAGGAAGGCAGAGTGTGCACGGTCATCCTCCACACTGCTCCAAAATAACCATATAAAGCAAGGAGTGCAGACTGACACACACACACACACACACACATATAAGCTGGGGTTGCTCAGGGGTGAGTGAGGGGGGATGCATTGGGGGGATGGACATGAGGCATATGTTGAAATATAATCTTCTTAGTTACCCATCAACTTGTGTGAACCCTCATCCTCATTAAACTAAAATAACAGTCAGCCAGGCGAAAAAGCAGAGATGCTTTGCAATTATTTCAGTGAGCCTCAGTGGAGGATTACCTTTGACATGTATCTGAATGACTACACACAGTAGATAAAACGAGAATGGATGTTTTTTTGATAGGAATACTCATATTAAGAAAGGGAGAGACACATAAAAAAGGCAAGCAAGTGTAATGTATACTCTAAAAACAAGCATGTTTAAATGACAATTTAGTACAAATCTATGGCAGAATAAAAATAAAAAAAGAGTAGCTTGTAATGTGGTCTGATGGTGTTTAAAGTTGTGAACGAGTGCTACATGTTGGTGCACGGCGGTCAAAGTACTCACAAAGCCGTATCCTCTGGATTTGCCGGTCTGTCGGTCCGTTATCACCACAGCCTCGTCAATGTCCCCAAAGGCCTCGAAGTATTTTCTCAGTGAGGCATCGTTCGTGTGGTATGGCAGCCCGCCGACAAAGATTTTGGTAAAAGTAGTGTCTTTCTGTATCGCTGAGGGATGCATGACTTCCAAGGCTCCGTTCATGTACTGATGCAGAAGCATTGGTCAGCCGGGGGAGAGGACCGGAGGCACGCAGGAAATAAACTAAGCGATGCAACAATGTCCCAGCATCTGTAAAACAAAAACGGCTCTATATTATGGCGCAGTTTTCCAATCGTGTTGTGACCTTTGCTCAAAGTTGTAGCAACCTGATGACAACTGCGCCTGAGCTCCTCTTGGTTGCGTCGACTCAAATTGCTTCTTCTTTGACACTGAAGAAAAAAGTGCCGGCAGCTTTTATATGCCACAACTGAAACCACGCCCACTTCCAACTCTTAACCAATCATCATCACCGCCGAATGCCAACTTTAGCAGCCGTTCCTCCCATTGGTCCGCCTTCCCCGGCGCCGTGCTGCACCTGCTTTTGTCCTTTACGACACAAAGAAAAGCCCGTACTGTACGGCAGAAAGCGCGGATCCACCACATGGTGCATGTTTCTCCTGTAATAAGGAAGTCATTGTGTCCACTTATTACAAATAACGTTTTTTTAAACCTGTATAAGCAGTAGTTAATCAAGTCTGCTTATTATGCATTTGTTGTTACTTCACTTTTATCATCGTGACATGGCACATATCATGAAGCAACAGTGCCGTGCAGCTGAAACAAAAGGACAGTCGAAACCACACCACTTCAGCTAAAACACAATAAGCTATTAATCCTAACTTTATAATATATTATGCTGGCGTTTTACTCTTTACTTTTAAAATACCCTATTACTTAATACACATAAGGAGAAATCAAACCCCAGACAGTGTTAACTTCTAAATATTCTTTATGTAGGCCTTTTTTATTTTTTTATTAAGAAAACCTTACTTATGTGTGACCTCACAATTTATTCTATGAGAGTTTTGTTTGTGTTATAGAACAACATACCATTGGGATTAATTTTAAATCTAATAAAGTTAGTGATTATACCCAACTTCCCTTTGAAGAAGCAATATCAAAGTCTAACCTGGTACCCATAGCTTTAAGGCTTTTTGTGAAATAAACTGGTTAAGAGTACAATATGGCACATTTAATTGGGCCTGCCACAACAGGCCACCTTTTATCAGCCCATCATAAAAGCAAATGATTGGCATATTTTGCAAAAACAAAAAAAAAGGTCAAGGGTGCACTTGAGCTTATACTTCCACTGTCAGTAATGCTTTCTACGCGTCTCTACATGTTACTCACAAACACTGATAACCTCTGTGCAGGTCAGAGGGAGAAAAGCAACAGGTCAATCCAACAGTTAGCTTACCTAAATGTACAAATAAATATTACTTTCCTGTGATTTTGCGAGACAGTAATTCAGGTTAATTCATGATCATTCAAGTTAGAGGAATGAATTAGATAAAATAAACTCAGTACAGCATGTTGAAACAGTACAGGAGACAGGGGTCTAGAGGAGCGCTACTAGTGTGACCCCATGAAAGCTTAAAGGAGCCGGTGAACTGTGGCAGCAGCAAATCTTCCCGCCCTCGAAGCCTTCAAGTTCCACTGCTAAGTACTAACGGTCAGGCTAACAGTGAGGTGATACTCTAATGACCGCAATAAAAAGGCATTTAATTCACACCTTCTCCTCTATGAACTAGTTCACTTTTCACACATGGCCTTTGTGCCTGCCCGTGCTGCCTCATTCATATCCTCTTGATAAATCCCCTTATTTCCAGCTGTGTATCCCTGTCAAAGAGGTTTAACCTGGATGAAGAAGCCCCGTGTCATGCTTTGATCTCATTTGTCCTGCTTAGCTCTCTGACCTCAGCTCTTTGACTCTTCCACAGGTAACTGCTGCAGTTGAGACAATGAAAGGAGAAAAAGCTCCACCTGCTGGTTAATTTAGGTTAAAACAAGCAGACAGGAGAAGTGTGTGATACAGATGTTGTCCAACGTTTATCATTTTTAAGTTGTGATAATTCCAGTGTTAGAGAACCGCGTGATGAACAGATTTACAGCTGAAACATGAGATAGTGGTTCATGGTTTCGCATGCACAATACAGGTCTGTGAATCCCCAAAAAACATTTATACAGGAATTTAACCTCCTCCCTTCAGGTTGGAATAAACATGTTCAAAATGTATAGTACGCACTAAATAATTTTACATCCCAGTTTCCTTCACGGAGCTTAACGACGAAGTAACAGCAAATCAGAAGAGAATGAAAAGTCTTTGGAAAGTTGTAAAAAAATCGGAGCTAGACACAAAAAAAAAAACGGAACATCAACATAAGTGACAAATAAACCCCCCCCCCCTTCTTTGATGACCTCTACGACCAATTGTCACGCAGAGATCATCAACGCCAGGTTGGGTAGGCCCCTCTGATTGGTCCATGCACAGTACGCAGCACCACGCCATTGGTCCAGGTGAAAGGAGGGAGTCTGCCTCGAGCGTTTACACACACTAAAGCAGCAGGTCTTCCGCATTTCCCCACAAGAGATGCGACTTGGCACGATGAATCTAGAGACAGGAGGCAGCAGTCAGTCACAAAGAACATTGTGAGAACATTTATGTTTACTTCTGAAAGGGTGTTCACTGCGTCCCTTTTGGCACAGAACAAACAGTACAATATCACTATTCAGCAGACACAAACCACAGAGGCTTGCATAGGTTGAATATCTCAAATATTTTCATTGTATCCATATTTTAATAAATAACAGTCATTTAATACCTTGTAATGCCAATAAACACTGGTTAAAAGCTACATTCTTTTAAAAAAAACCAGCAGGCTTCATCTCAAAATTCCTGACTGTGAAAATGCAAATGCAGCTGGTTTACACAATTACAGCAACAACTACACCTGCTTTAAAAATGTCTTCACTCAGGTCAGTGCATTACCATAAAATTAGGCTACCTGTTGTCAGATCATGTGTATTGCAACTGCCTACATTCATGCATGCCAGGGATCATAGGGTGCCTGTAAAGGCCCAAATGGGTGTCTCATGGGTATTCAGGAAGTGGGGCAGCCCTGTGCAATAAGTGCAGCCTCCAGGTTCATAGAAAATATTCGGCTCTCACCATTTCTTGTTCCGAGGCTTCAGCTCCTCGGCAGCGTTCCTCAAGAAGATGTAGTTCTTTTTCTGGGGGTTGTAGTACTCATGTCCCTTAGGAATAAAGAAGAAAAACAGAGCAAAATAGAAAATATTAGAAAAGGCCCAAATGAGTTGCATGTTTTAACTATTGTAGTGAGAGCACCACCTGATAACAGCTTTTGTCAACATGTTACTCCTCTTACCTTCGACCAGTCGTAACTGGAGGCGTATGCAAAGATGTTGCCATTGCTGTTGAAGGCGCAGGCAGTGATGGGCTGGTCCAGCTGCTCCGAGGTCTTCAGCTTGGTGCGGGCGTCTTTGTCCCAGAAGCTGAAGCGCCCGTCTGAGCCCACAGTCGCCAGAGTGCCGTGGACAGGATGGAAGGAGATGGCATTGACCTGATGGGAGAACAAGGGATTCAGGTGAGGGATGAGGACATATTTTAACTAGGTTAGTAAGTGTATCTGATCGAGTATGACCAACTAAAGAAAATCTAATTTTAATCCATATTTTCATTCATCTTAGATATTGAATATTGTGCTAAATTAAACACTTTTAAAATACATTACGTTTTACTGCAAAAATCACCTTACATAGGAATATCACAAGTTTAATTAATTTCATTAATTTTAGTTGTGTTTAATGTAGATCTAACACATCCATAACTACTGTTATTAAATCCACCTACTGTAGACTTTAACAGTTTGAGTCCTAAAACTGGTATAATCGTTCAATGTTGCGACACAAATATGTACGCAAAATATAATTTAACAGCACAAAGCATACACTTCATTGAAAATGTCAAGACTGTTAAAAATTCGGAACAACTTACAGCATAGATGTCCTGTGGAGTGGTGGTGTTGGTTCCATTCGACCTGTGGCACTTAAAGGTGAAGTTGTCTTTGGCTCTAAAAGGAATCAGGAAACACATTTATGTCATTTTTATTTCTTTATTCAGGGCTTTGAGAGAAAGAGCAGTGTCTCTTAAATGATGTAGTAACTAAATAATAGTGACTGCACTTCACTTGAATAAATTAAACACCTTTGGCAAGACTTCCAAAATTCATTCACTTGGTAGAAATTGATTGTTTTAGACACTTACGGGTTTGGAGGGTTGATGTAGTGGATGGCCACTCGGCCCTCAATGCTACCCAGTGCAAAGCCTGTGGGCTTGTTCTGCTTGTCCTTGAATATGGCAACACAGCGGTGCTACAGAGCCAGGGCAGAAGAGCATGTTAGTTAGTCATGCATGAGGAGTACAATGTCATAGTCTATATTAACCAGAAATGGAATCCAGCTGTACATTAGTGTAGGATTGGGAAAAGACAAAGAGAAGAGATATTTTTTTTAATTGATGAGGAGAATTCACCTGATGTTTGAGAGGTGAGTCTATTCTGCGAAACTCAGAGGGTTGGTTCTCCAGTTGGTAAACTATCAGGCCTCTATCAGCTGTGGCCACCACCGCCATGGGGTACACCTGCATATAACAGACAGGGAGGTTAAAAACAACACACAAAAAGTTATATATTCAATTATCTTCTTACCACGTATGACTAATTTATGTTGTACTTGTAATCCCACTTACAACATCTGCACAGTAGCTTCTCTCCGGCATCTGCAGAGACATCATGGGATTGGGAGAGCGGGTGTCCCAGAACTAAAGAGAAAAACATAAAAAGTCATGTTTCTTATTACAAATGTAGATACATCAAGGATAAAAGTCCTAATAGTAGCAATTGTTGATAACAAATAATGGTCCGGAGGTGAATGAAAATCTAGTTTACTAGAAATCTGTTTTGGAAACACAATGGTTGGTAATATTTTCATTGGCTTGTTGTCATTTTTTCAGATGTTCTTAGCACCCTAAATGCAAAAACAGAATGAAAACAATGTGTTGAAATGTGCTGTTGTACCTTCAGTGTTTTGTCCCAACTGCCAGTCATGATGCAGCTGTAGTTCGGGGCTTTTATCCAGTGGATTGATTTGATCGGGCCCTCATGCTGAGAGGAGAAATGGTGAAGAGTGTAAGACGATTGTGTTTCATTGTTATGACGACACAATTGATCTGTAAACTCTTATCCTACCTGTGCAATCTGCATTGCTTGATTGCTGTTAAGATCCCACATCTTGGCTGTTTTGTCACAGGAAGCCGTGAAGACTTTACTCCCGTCCTGGATAATGACAATAGCACATAAACGTGGAACATAAATTATTCCACGGTCCAGCAGACAGCATCTACTGCAGAGCTTGAGTTACTTTGTTGATGAGACTTACGTCGCTCCAGCATGCATCCAGAACTGGACCTGTATGCATCTGTTGGGCTTTTGGGACAGTCTGTCCATTGTCCTGAACCTCCCAGCACCGGACCTAAGGTTACAATATAAAACATTGTTAAACTGTGTTGACATGTGAGCATAATATACACTGTTGTGCATTTCAGAAGTAGTGTGACAGGATCATTCTGAACATTAACTGTACTCAAACTTCATATTCCGATGATCATCCAAAATCTTCAAACAAATCAATCAACAACTGTGTACGCCATAATCTTAATTGTACACAAATACTATGATGAACAAAAGCTCACATCGTTGGCCCAGGATCCTCCAATAAGGAAGTTCCCTGGCATGGTGGGAGGACTGAAAGCCAGACAACTGATGCTGTCATCTGGAGGTGAAGTCACTTCAACATCCTACAAGACAAAAACATGAAAAACATTTACATGCGAAGGCACAGTTTTCAGTCAGTCATCACAACGATTTATAATATGTAATGCTTTTGTCCTGTACTCTTGCTTGTTTACCTTCATGGGATTGTGGCTGTCTGTTGTTGCATTTCCAAAGACACCTGTCCCTCCTGCTCCAAACCCGGAGGTTGTTCCAAATAGACTCATAGTACTTTAACGCCAATGTACGCCTGAGAGAGAAGCAAGACGTGACGTAATATGTTCATTAGTATCAGAAAAAGACACATCGTGATAACATGTAACGAAAGTTAAGTAATGCAAACTGGATGTAGGGTTCAATCCGAAAAGGGCGTGAAAGCAAGAAACTACTGTATGTTTTTTAAACGTTAGGTAAATAGTGTTCCAATACAGGACAATCTAACATGACCAATCCCAAGACCGTTATCATAGCACTTAACAAGCTTATCAACAACGATTTAGGTAAGGTATCAGGAAAAACTGGGTACCGCAAACCAAAACATTGGCCACTTGAAAACACGATGCTAATGTAACTAACGTTTATCATTAACTGCTGCTAGCATCTAAATGCTAGCGTTAGCTTCCATGTTAGTATGACAACAAGTGGGCAGTTTAGCCATGTGTGGTGTTTAAAATAACATTAAGTGAGATTTGTGCTTTAAGTAGGAGAGGTCAACAAATAACAGCGTTTCAAAACGTTAGCTAAGGTTAGCTAATTTGATTTAGACACCGTCAACTATGGCAGCAAGCTAATGCTATTTCGGCTGCAAAATCAAACACCGTATTTAAACATTATAACATGTGGAGAAACGTATTATAATTATAATAACATACATACCCCAGATATGTTAAATGATGGCGATGAGCCTAAACGCTGAAAATGCCAATATAATTTGGCGCATCGAAAATGTGGCGCTAGTTCCTCAGTATGTCGCAGTTTGGTGACGTATTTTGGCCCTGGTAAAGGCAGAAGCATGCAATGACCAGAGTGAGCGCTGGAAGGCAGTGTCTGACTGTAATCAGATGGACTCTCACATTGTGGTGTCTGCTCAGGTGAGTGTCTGCTCCTCGCTAGTTTACTCAGTACAGGGGCATGGTGGACAAAGTGTAGACTCGTTGACATGGTTCCTCACCGTCTGTAGTTCATTCAGTATGTATCCCAACGTTCCCTCACCTGTCTGCCACAATAATGCACAATACCAGTGAAGTGCACACCATACGTTATCATGCAATGTGGGAAATACCTTTTGGAGAAGTACCCTACTCATATATCCTTTACTTGGCTAATACAGCAGAAGTAACACAACAGCAAACTACAAAATACCTTCGGTTCACAATTTAATTAATGTAAAATATGTTATAACAAATATGTAAGCCTGTCGAAATGTGTCTTAGGCAGCAAAAGTAATATGGTAGGCCTTCCCATCTAGAATGGCTATTTCAAGGGTGTTAGCATTTAGCTAGGCTAATGGATTTATGCATTCACAAGCAGTATTTTAATGTTGCAGTTCATGAATAATAAGCCTTTAAATTACTTTACTGTATTGGCTTTGAGATTGGACTCTATAAAGTGATTCTGTGTTTTAAATAAGTAACTAATAATAACTTTTAACTTTTAGATTAATCTGGTGGATCAAAATGTAGCCTAAAATATTTCCAACTGAACTACAACTAGCTATAATGTAGCATCAGTTGTAAAAACTCAAGTAAAGTAGCCTACATGACCTCATAATTTTACTAAATTATACTTTACTGTGGTCTACTTTAGTAAATTCACTTTTGCGGGCCTACTTTCCAACACTGATAACAACCGCAGGTTATCCTTGTTATTTATTTAATTTTAGATTTTGCATGCACACATAATCTGAATGACATTTACAAAATAATAATATAAGTGCATCCTGCCTCACTTTCCCTGTGGGATTTATTGTTGTGCAGGATCAATACAAACCCACAGTTTCACAGTATTCTAATACATGTTGACAAAACAGAGAAGTTTTCAGTACTTCTTATTCATCCGCTGTGGGCAGCCAAACAGTGTGACACATATTATGGTTGAAGCTCCAATGGGAGATGTAATGATTGATTCTTATTGGACTCAGTCAGTAAACATTAGGCAAATTAGTAGAATATGGTGCAGAAATTAAATTATGAGATTCAGTACATTCCTAAGGTTGAGAGTTGTGCGTAGCTGCTGTGAGTCTGCGACAGTGTAAAAGCTCCTTCAGATCTACTGCGTGGGAAGATGATGTGGCTAGACTGTAAAGTAAACTAGGACCTGTTGAAATGCATTAACGCTGCAGAAGAGTCCTTGAGCATAACAGTTTTATTTCTTAGGTAGTTAGGTATGTTGTCAAATGTTTGTAGTGAAGGGGGACTTCAGGAGGTTGCAGGGATGAGCTTAAGTGACCTTTTCCAGAGAAAAAACAACATCTCAAGTGACTATTGTATGCATGGTGCAAATGGAAATCTGGTTGTGTGATTTTAGTCCATTTATGGGTTATTCAATGGTTTACTATATACAAAAACATGCACATTTGTAAAAGGTCATTTCAGTTTGTGGTTATGACACATTAACTTCCTCGAGGTGTATGTGCAGATCGAGTCATCTTTTCCAACAGAGTAAAACCCACGTATTATCTTGACTTCAGTATAGGATTGTTGCTTTGTCATTCATTGTTTACCCCCACCCCCATTAACTCTCTATTAAAGTCACAGTGGAGTGCTTTACACATTGTTGTAGTAATTCATGGAGGCTATTGGCATGTCCCTTCATGTGCCTGTACTGCTGATCACTCAAACCCCTCCACAATGAGGGTGGGCCAGACTTTATTGTTTGAGTTCAAAGGTGTCTGCGTAGAAAAAGGGATTAGGGGATTTTCCCTCTTTACCTTTAGACTCATCATTAGGCTTTTTTTTACTTAGTGTTGGAATGTGCACAGTATTGAGTCACAGTGCAATAAATTAAAACCTTCAAGATTTAAAATCAAAACAGAATTTGGACACAAATGCAAAGGTGTTTTGATGTTGATTTCCAGAACAGAGCTGCTGCGTATAAAAAAAGAATAGACTACCAGAGAAAAAAGTCCACTTTCATCATTGGCCAACAGTCATGTCCCAACAAAGGATGCAGTGATGGGGCACTTGGGGTTTGAAAGGTCCACACCCCTACCTTATTACCAAGTCAGAGAAGTGCACTTCATGATAGGACAAGGACCACCCCCCCCCCCACACACACACACACATACTCTCCAAATCTTGCCAGTGGTTTATCCCATTTTAAACCCCTCCTGCCCCTCCCCTGACACAACTCCTCAATGAAAATCCATTCCCAAGTTGCCATCAAGAGGAGTGCACCATATCGCACCAAGACCAGAAGGTGATGAAGCAATGATACTCTGAGTTGATAAAGGTATTGTTTTTTTATTCCTATTATTAGCAGAGAAACTACTTATGTAGCCGCATCTCCAGTATTTTCTTTCGACCGTAGTCGTGCGTAAAATCGGTGTAAAATGGAGACACGCGTCCTGGCGACGGTAACAACCCTCCTGTCGTGGAGTTACTGTGCGTTGGCCACGCAGGTCGCCTTCTCCAACTTCTCCGTGGACAACGAGGTGCACTCCAGTTTCATCCAGCGGCGGCTGCGGAGCCAGGAGCGCAGGGAGATGCAGCGGGAGATCCTCTCCATCCTGGGGCTGCCGCACCGGCCGCGGCCGCACGTCCACACCAAACACACCGCTGCCCCGATGTTCATGCTGGACCTGTACAACACCATCTCCACAGATGCACAGCCGCCCGGATACTCTTACTACAAGCCCGCTTTACCCACCCAGGGCTCCTCCATGATGACCCCGCAGGACAGCCGCTTCCTGGATGACGCAGACACGGTGATGAGTTTTGTCAATCTGGGTAAGTTAAATATTTATACCTTTATAACACATTATTAGCCTACTATTTTAACTTACTATTTGTTTTAGTATATGGAGTATATGGATCGTGTAAGAGGGACTTCACTTTGATAATTAATGAAAATAAACAATTATGAATTATTTGTAAAATATCCAAATCAAGATAAGATGAGATGCAGTATACTTGTTTATCCCAAATGGAAATGTAACTTGAGCAAAAATGAGGCACACAGCTCCAAAAAACGTAGCCAACAAGACAGTACAGGAGTACACTGAGACACAAGGCTACTTACAATATTGATGAAATAAGGAAAGAATACATATGGCATCCAACCAAAGGAAAGGGATTTCGTTTTCTCTGTTTTTCTCGTTGTTTAAACTTAAGATTTAAGGATTAAAATGCTTTCCATTACCAAGTCTTACAAAGCCACTACTATGCAGTGCATTAGTTAAGAGTGTGTGTGTTAGCCATGTCTCTGACATTGTGGCTTTTAGGTCACTTTCCTCACTTGAAATCAGGCATTATGCATTCCGAGCTGTAAATGTTATGACAACATGCCTGTATCCGATTTCCCCAGAATCCCTTCAAAGCTCTGGGGGAGAGGCTTTAGCATGGCTTTGTTTCGCATGACTAGGAATTGAACGGGCATTTCTAAACCCCTAGGGAAAGAGACACAAGTTGTCTATAAGATCAAGATACAAACTGCATCCAAACACATGTTGCTGGGGTAACCTCTGATAGTGCAGGGGCATGTGTGTGTGCAGTGCATTTATGCATCTGTTTGTGTGTTTGTTGTGGGCGGCACAAATCACATGGGTCACAGGTGAGAGCAGGGGCTCACTCAGACATTATTGAATTTATAAACGGCAAATCCTGCCTTTGTTTCCCTTGGAGATCCTAGGCAGCTCTGATATCACTATAGTGAAGCAGCAGACGGCACGGTGCCTGTGGCTCTTATCCGGATGTGGTTTCATCCAAAATCAACCCGTATCTTCTTTATGTCCTTCAGGAGGAGGGTTAGAGGTCAACCTGACGAGATGAAGTTAGTTCATCTGAGATCGTTTCAAGAAACCTGTAACCTTCCCTTTTGTCTGGGTGTTATTGAGATTGAACTAAAGACCCATTTAGAGTTTTTCTTCTTCTCGATCAGCCCATCAATGTGTTGTTAATACAAAACATTTGGAGTCTGCAATAATTCGACATTACATTTTATGTACTCGGTCATGAGGGTCTTAAGCTAATGAGATCTGGAAACATTGTTTCTGAAAACTCAAAGCAGATTTATGCGGTTCCACATCTGAGGAGTTTGATCATGTAAAGTTAGGAGGAAAGAAAGGACACAATGTATTCTTTTTTCTCTCGGTCCACCCCGGCCTCCTGTGCTGATGATTGGCAGAGTATTTAGCTGGGGCTTGAACAATGTGCTGCAGTGACTTACTTGGTGGTCCCTGGATGATCGCTTCAAGAGCGAAGTGGATTATGGTATTTCCCTTCCAAAGACCACAGCTTCCAGTGTGAGGGGAGCTGCCGTAGAGCCCCGTCTCCCACTGACCCAGGTATATCCTGCAGGTGGACAGAGCATAGCATACCATTTTAGATGATTATTTTAAAAATGAATCAGTTTCATTAATAAGGGCATAACATGTAATTTCAAAACAAAACCCCTTAAATAATTAGACCTATGTTACAGCGTTTTTTTAGGCAAGGCAAGTTTATTTATATAGCACCTTTCAACACAAGGCAATTCAAAGTGCTTTACAAAAAATGAAAGACATTAAGAAAATGGCAATTAAAATCAGTCATTAAAAAGAAAGTTAGTTGTGTTCTTACTTTTATTCCAACGGTTTACGTTGAATTTCAAACCTAGAGATTTCGAACATTTAACTAAAGGTAACAACTGTTACTTACCCCCGTTCCATATGTGTTGTGGTGGCCACTAAAAGCTGTCATAAATAGACATTTTATCGAGTTTTGAGCCACAGTTTTTAATTAAACTTCTAAGAATTTGGTTGTTTTTAACTACTTAAGTTATCAGAAAAATATGTTAATCAACGTCAGCGCCCCCATCTGCCCAGCATCTTTGGAGACACACACATTTTTACATGTAACTACTATTCACATTTCTTTAATCCAGTTTTGATCACTGGCTCTGTTTGTTTTGGAGAGGATAAGAGCTTTTGCCGACAATTTGGCCCGTGGTAAAACCCCCTGAACGTCTGAATATTTAGAGAAACAAGCTGAGAAAACGTTAATAGCATCTCGGCACGTAGCCCCTTCTGGACGTCCTTTGTCCCCTGAAAATTGTCTGTGGAAAACACTTTAACACAAATTAGCTTTATTTAGTCTTATTACCGGGTCCTTTTGTTTTGGAGAGAAGGATACCCCTGCGAATAAATTAGCTACTGGCCCAAAATTCTAGACGATGAACATGTGAGAAGCCTACTGCAAAGGTGTTTAAGTCAACAACTCTTATGATCCCACGCTAGTTCGCAACGTCACCAAACTCTGCCTTTTAACATTGTTTTTATAGAGGGACTCCTTTCGGCACTCAAGTCATATTATCCCTTTTAAGTGAGATTATTTATGTTAAATAAAAAGGATTAGGAAAAGTTAGTGTGAACCATTTCACTCCTATTTTTTCCCTTGTTGGATAGGATTTAAAAGCTTGTGTAGTCGACACAGACACAGTGTATCACATCATAGCACACAAGCATATACAAGTACACGGCTGCACATGTTTACTTCAGTTGGATTGCCAAACCACAGGTCGTTCTTCAGCATCACCAGCAGGAAGCTTTCTCCTCATTGTCATGCAACATTACACAGGCAGCTGCTTATGCTTTGCACATTTGTAGTTCCTCTTTGTTTATAAGGGAATACAGTGAATTTAATGCAGGGGCTGACACAATCTTATCAGCTGTAGCTGCTCTGTCTTGTTTACCGCTGTTGAAGTTTTCGCTGCCATGGAGACATGTAGACATGTGTTCACTATGTTTTTTTTTTCTGCTTTTGGCCACAACAGAGCATGGGAAAAGGCTTAATGACAAGAAACATCAATGGCTTTCATTAAAATAGAAATAGTGCAAAACGCTCTCCTAACATGACCGCGTAGGTGGAGAACAGAAGGCGCATTGTGTTTTTGAGAACGGGAAGAAATGTGTTTGTCCTGCTTAAGCTGATCTGTAGGAAGCATAAGGAGATCACACCAAGAATTTCTTTTGGCCCACCAGAAAATCGCATTAACTTTCTCATTATTTAAAAATGTGTGCAAAATAAACACATTTTTACGCAGAAACGTATGAATAGGTGCAACAGCCCTTCTTTTGGGGCTAATAATCTGCACGAAAACTCAAGCAATACTGTCAAACTAATCAACTCATGCAGAGACTCAAAGATTTGAAAGAGAGAAAAAGTTCATTTCAGTTAAAGATTAGTAAGTCATTTTAATCAGTAGTAAATAAGGGCCTGAGCTTGACTGAAAATAATCTGAATCAGTCTCTGTTATTCACAAATGCCATCGTTTTTCTTATTTTTTCAGCTTCAAACCACCCATGCTTACTTGTAAAAAACAAACAAAACTCTACTATAAAATAGCAAGAGGTTAATGATAGCTTCGTGGCTGTGTGGCCCTGCAGTGTCAGGAGTAATGTGAAGTGTTGAAATGCCTCCCAGAGGGAAGTTTGCATATCTGAGGTCTGATCTCTGCAGCTAATGGTCCCTAACGTAAACACACCAAGTCCTTACAAGCAATTATTGCGTTCATAAAAACAGCCCTCGCTCCCTTCCAGCATTTAATTGCGGTCAAACGAATGACTAGCAGGGTTCAGAATGCACTGCTCTTAACGACCAAGTGTGTGTTTTTGTGTCATTAGAAATGTTTTTAGAAGACTTTGAGTCAGTGTGTATTTGCAGGAAAATGTTCTTGGTTCTAGTGTTGAGGTGCTGTGTGTCTTTGCACTGAAACAATAGTGGGCCATCATCAGTGGGAAGGCAGCCTGATGTCAGGATGATGTCATGCTGTACGCCAGTGGGCAGGATGTGTTTAAGGTGACTAATCGCCGCTCCGCACACCTTCACCAGAGACCTCCACGGCTCTTTCCAAGGACATACACACATGCTGTAAAAACATGACACTCGAACGCATCAGGAAGCTTTCGGGGTCTTTCTGACCACCGTTACTTTGGAAAGTCTGAGAGTTGGAGAGCTTCAGCTGGTTCAGGGTGGGCTGGGAACCCCACGGTGCCATCAGCTGCTGCTGCTTTACTTTAACAATCTTAATGAAACACTGGAGGTGGCAGTACTCGGATATTTAACTAAATTAAAAGTAGCGTACTACAGTCTAGAAACACTTAATTACAAGTAAAGAAAATCATGCAATTTACTCAAAAGTACAACATTTGTATCTTTCAAATATACTTAAAGTTGCAAAAGTATAACAACTTAAGTTTCATGATGTCCCATTTCTGAATAATATATAATTTAATGTTGGACTACTATTATTGCTGCATTTCTTTATCTCTTTAACCTTGCATCTAGTAAGGGATTAGCTTGTTTTAAATTATTTATATATATTTTATGTATTACTTAACAAACTAAAAAAATAATAACATAATCAGTTGATATGATGTTGTTTTGTTAATCTGAATTTGCAGAATTACTAAAGCTCCCAGATGAATGTAGAGTAAAACAATATTATAAATGAATTATTGCAGAATAGATATACCAGTGAAATGTTCTATATTTAAGGACATTCCTTGTGTAAATGTTCCGAGTTTCTCTCCACCTCTGATCCCAGTGATCCATGGCACACTGATCAGGGATGTGTGGGTGGTACAGCCTCTGCTAGTTAAGTCTCTCTATACTTTATGTGAGTGTGTTTGTAGAAGCACACTGGCAGCTGTGGTTTTCCGGGCAGTGCCTTAACGGGCCTTTTCTTGTGGTCAGCACATGTGTGCAATTTAAACCGGGAGCCAAACTGAGCCATGCGTGTGTTTTTACTCCCCCCACATTGGCACGTATGGCACATTTAAGTGATGTTTAGATCAATCACTTTACTCATGGAAGCAGGATTTTTCCTATTTTTTGACACAGCACTTCCGAGATGTGGGCAGAGTGACACACATCAGAGCAACGTTTGATTTGGCGACAGTTTTGACAGATATGCAACCACCGACTGGTTTTACCATCTGATTGTACTCAAAGTGGTTTGCAATTTCCTTAGATGTACAAAGCTTCCCACTGAGGGTCAGAAGCGATTTTTCATTGTAGGGCTGCACAATTAATCAAACTTGTATCTGATTTATTTGGTAATGACAAAATATGTAAAAATGTCATTCTGAATTGCAAAGAGATCCAATCCTACAGAGGTTCTCCTACAGACAAAATAAAAACTATCCTCTTTAAAATCACACCATGATCATTTGAATATATATATATTTAATGCTAATGTGAATAATCTTTCAGAAATAAATAAAATTTGAATTGGAATATCAGTCAAAAATAGTGAGTTATTTGTTCTAATGGTTTTTCACCTCTTTCTCCTCCTTACAGTCGATCAGGAGAAGGATCTTCTGTTCCAGCAGCACAGAAGAGAATTCAGATTTGATCTTTCCCGTATTCCTGAAGGAGAGGCCGTCACAGCAGCAGAGTTCAGGATATATAAAAATGTTGTCCAGGAACGCTACGAGAACGAGACCTTCAGAGTCAGTGTGTACCAGGTCCTGGAGAAACCTCCAAACAGGTATGGGTGTCTTTCTACAGCTACTGCACATATTTCAGATAAGATAAACCTTTTATTGATCCCCGAGGCGAGACTGTGATTTTCTTTACGGCCCTTGATTGGATTAACCCTTTGTTTGATGTATCAGTTGGATCTCCTCAGTGGAGTTTAGCATTCAGGGATCGGTTTGCTCAAATTACAAATACAAAGGTATTTTGGGACTACATCAATTTTGTCGAGAAATGTCAATGAAACCACACGGAAAGTGCTCCCCCTCATGGAGATCAGAAATGTAATTAGGATTCATCATGGATGAATGCCGCTAGCATAGCTAAAAATTAGACTTTTCACAAACCTGTCTCTGTTTCTTCACTGGAATTTAGTTCCTAACACATGCTGCTGGTGGATATTTTCTTTTTGAGGACAATATATTTACCCCCGTTTTAAAGCTCCCATGTCATGCTTTTCCGGTTATTACCCGTCCCCTTGTGTGTTATGAAGGTTTTTATGCATGTAAACGGTGTGCAGAGTCAAAACCCTCAAAGTACACCCTGTAGCGAGTAAAACTCTAACACAGAAAATACCTCCCCAAAACGCCTCGTTGGAGATACGTCACTGCCCATTTGATTCTTCCGGGTACCGCCTGATGTCATGCGGTACCCGGAACGAAATGGACCAATCCCGAAGAGCTATGGCCACACCAGCAGCGGCGTGTTCCTCCTCCAGAGGTTCGAAGAACCGGCATTTCACAGACGAAAGCTTCCAAAACATTGTCCAGTTTGAGGCCGGATATGCACAGCTTGTTTGGACCGTTTGGAGCAGGGGAAGATCTGGGTATACAACCTGTAAGTTTGCATTGTTATTTGTGTATTTATCAAACAAGACTGTTTAAATGTGTAAACTGTGTTGGACTGCTAAGCCATTGACACAGTGCTAACTGTGCTAACTAAGTTGCTAGAGTTTCCATATATCAACTCTAATATCAGCAGATGGCCTTGCATACATGTATCTCATAGCAGGAGAATGTCTGCATTCACACACAAAATACCTATTGACAGTATACTCCGGGTGATTTGCCGGTCAGTCGCGAAACGTAATTACATTATAGCTGGCGTAGCGATCTAACACACGGAGCTAGAGCTAGTTTTGGTCGGAAAAACATTTTTGTGATGCTACGTTGCTAGCGTTTAAATATATCAACTACAATGTCAGCAGATGGCCTTACATGTTTGTCATGGCAGGAGAATGTCTGCAGTCACACACACGGAATACTCATACAGTATACTGTACTGTGATTTACCGTACATTGTGACCGTACATATACTGCATGTAGCTAACGAGGCTAGCTGTATGCTAGCGCAAAACAATGTATTCATGCAAGTTACATTGTATGGTAGCAGAATACCCGTATACGATTGCAATTATAAACACGTTATTGCTAGCCTAATATGAACCACTAGCTTTTGTTCATAGTAGTTTTATTACATTGCATTATAGTTGCCTTTCCTCCAAGCTAACGTTCATATCGTGTTAGCTACCAAGGTAAACAAAGCTAGGTTAGCATATTCGCAGGCAAGCTGTTCATTACACAACTACTACTAACGAATCTAAAACAACTAAGTTTCTCTAATATTTTGTGATTTGCATTTGATTTCGTCCAGCCAGATCCTGGCGGACAATCCATGACGGGGAAGGGACTTCGACTACTACTGAGGCCTCGTGCTAAAAGGCACCGCACCGACTGTGCGCAGGCAAGATGCGAGGAGGAGGAATGAATGATATACCGTGTGTATATATGTATATTTATGTTCATTTTGTACATTTCTAAAAATAAAGTTTAATGGAAATACTTAGTAGGCCTATCCTTTCTTCCCTGAATTCATATATAGCAAACCATGATTTGATTTCTCATCAAACAGTAGTAGTTTATAACGGGTAAAAATAACTTACTCTTTGTTATGAGAGTGGCTCGTAGGCCACAACGGAAAGACAAGGAGACATACACAAGTTTACAAAACCACGGCACATTTATTGTGGTAAATGCAGAGATAGGTGGTTGAGAGGATCGCAGAGTTAGTCTTCCTGCAGCCGCTTTGGAGAGAGACTGGGGCCGTCGTGTCCGGAGGTGTCCGTGATCGTGCTGATTAGCCTCTTCAGCTCCACCCCATCGTAAGACAAAGGCCCTGGGGCCGTCACACTCTTCTATAACAACAGTTAAAAATATATATGTATATAAAATATACCGCTGTACCGACGCCATGATAAGACTGATGTTACGCTGAGAGCAGCCGGGAAAAGCACTGACATGGGCGCAGCCTCTCTGGTGGTTGACTAATCAGAACGAGTGGCCGAGCTGACCAATCGGAGCACACTAGGCTCACAGGGAGGGGGGGGGCAAGAGCTCCAACGAGTCGTTTAGTGGAGAAAGTGAATACTGCTGAATACACATGCTTGACAGAGATGCTGTATGCGAAACCAATGTGAGTTTGGAAAATTGCACAGTATAAATCTATTTTAGTATACCTCAACAATGTAATTATGATCAGTGGAAATGGCCATGACATGGGCCCTTTAAACAAACAGTACACTCACCAAGTAGACAGCTGTGTCCCGTGTAAAACCAAAAGTTAATGTTGACTTATTTTACCAACGCTATGTCACACAACTTAAAGTGGACCTATCATGCTATATTTGAATAATATAGTGTAGGACCATACCTATATAAGGCATATTTATACTTTTTTTTCCTTCAAAATACCAAACAGATCATGCATTTTAGCCATGCCTCATTTTGCTCAATTTGAAAAATGTTAGCTCTGTTTCTGCAAGGGCTGATTCTGTGAGAACAGCACCATCTACAGGCCTGGCATATGTACTACAGCGTCTCCAGCGCTTTCGAACGGCAATGGCCGTGGCTGTCTCCTCCTGATTGGTGGAGTTGGCCCAATAGCCGTAGCGCCACCGTCCTGACGTCAGGACAGTGTTCAAATCTGGATCAGTTTTTATCAGATCCGTTGCAGCCCCTTTTTTAGAGATTTGGGTATGGAGGAAAATAGAGAGGGTTGTGTTTTCTGACACTTGGTGAGTTCCCTGGAACACCGGGGACACATATTCATGTATAAAAGACGTACAAAAGTGCATTTTGCATGATAGGTCCCCTTTAAGTGTGTGACTAAAGTTAAATAGAAAACCAATTAGTTTTGTTGCTGAAAGCTATACTTCTACAACTAGTTTTGTTTTAACTCACAGCCTTAATCCAAAAATAGCGCCTTTTTAATACGGAAGAAAATACATTTCCATTGAAACATAATTCACAAAGCAGTCTTTTGTATGAGGACATACTTTTTAGGAGAAATGGCTTGATTAAATAAGTATTTAGTTTGATCACATGGATGAACTGACCCTTTTTGGACCTATTTTTTTATTATAAAACTACTTTTTAATAGAAGTTGGTTTGACTGCTACACTAGATTATCCTCTTGTGTTAGTGACAAAGAAAGAGTAGTTTAGCTGATCATCATGCTACTGTGTGCTCACTGTGGACGCTGGTCGTCAGGCTGCTGCTAGACGTGCAAACAGATCTGTCTTTGGCCGTGTCTGTCTACATTTCCTCACAGCTTATTTCTGCTGATGTTAGTGTCAGCGCCGAGGCTGTTTACACAGACATTAGTGTCAATTACAGAAACACGGCAGCTCTCTCCAGAGAAGGTTTACTCTCACACAGTCAGAGCAGGACAGTCCCCAGGAGACCTGCATTTACAACACGCAGCTCCCACCACAAATAACACTCTCAACCCTCCAGACGTCAATTTACTCTCTTTCTCTTACACAGGTGGTCAGTCCTCCATCTCCATTAACAGAGTGTAGAATAATTAGACCCCACACATCCCCTGCTTGCTTACAAATCAAAGTTCTTCCACCCACGTTATAAACTCTCAGCAGAGGGAATCATGGGCAGGCGGTAGATTTAAAAGTCCTTCTATGGTGACAGCGGGGCCGATGATGGTGTTAAGGGCAACACCATTGTCATTCACAGACACACAGACGAGCAGGCGGCAGACGTGGGCCTGAGGGTCTGAGACGCTCGGTCTGTAAACAGAGCTATTGTCTCTGGAGTCTGCTCTAAAGACGGCAGGTATTACTATTGTATGATTTTTTTATCTGGGGTGAATTAGAAGATGCTCTCTTCAGTCATCATTGTTCATGAGGGTGGATTCATGGTTCAGGGCGATACTTCAGTCAAGATACCTTTCTTTAACTTCTTATTTCGATACAAATATCTCATTTCTATATTGCACGTTCTTGCTTTACCTTTTATGTTTTTATATATATTTTCATTTTAAAACAGAGCAGCTCTCCCAAAGCCCAAATTTCCCCTGGGATAAATTAAATATTATTTTCTGATATCGTTTTGGAGCCAATTTTGAAATAATCCTATTGTTCAAATTGATTGTTTGCAATGCTTCTGGCTATCAATAGTGATTGCCTTTTTATAAGGTTAATTATTAATTATCAATTTATAATCAACTATAGTTTTTATTATCCTGATTTTTTCATTAATTTATCTTTAATGTATTGATTTCCTCAATATGCATAAAAGACATAAGGAAAAAACCACTGACTGTTATTTAAACGTAAGTATGTTATTTTAAACGGCACTGATGCTTCGTTTATAGTTAACAGGTGACACAGTGGGTTGAGGAGGTCAACAGAAACATATGTTTAATATTATTTTTCTTTGCAGTTGCTAACTAAAATATACATCCCATATTCATCCTCTATGTAACCTTTTATTCTCTTATTATTTTCCTTCAGTCAGCAAATGAAACACTTTCTCAGTTGGACGGAGGTTTGGTGTCTGACTTGGCTTATCAACAACATTCCTCTCTTTGGCCATAAAAACCTCTTGGCTCCCTTAAGTGTTTTATTTTTTCTGCTGCATTGCCGTAAAATTGGGGTTATGTATATTAAAACACAATTCCAACAGTTTTCCCAGCGTATGGTTACACTCCAAGCCAATAATTATCTCTTTAACCTCAGAGGCATTGTTTAATTTAAACTAAACTAAGTGTCTTTTTTTACAAACAAACATTAAAAAAAAATCCGAATAATTTGCTGTATTTAATATAATTTAATAATTCTGCTTGCATTTTTTGCATTCATAGAAAACCATTTTCCCAAGCATGCCATGCCACGTTCATTCAATGATTGAAAATTCATTTGCACACATTTACAAGACAAGAGATCATTAACAAATCATAGTTTGATATATTGATTAATACATTTTTTTATTTCGAACAAGTAAAATAAATAATTACAAAACAAACAAAAAAGTTGCAGTGCATAGTCATGTAAGAGAAATCAAAACAAACAACAACAACAACAGCATTAGCAACATAAACAGTCCCACATCTAGTGTTCGAAAAGGAGTGGTATATCATCACCATATCAATTTTGTTAAACTGATAGTGGATACATATTTGCAAATTTGAAAGTCTTGGATACAATACAATACAATACAGCTTTATTTATATAGCACTTTAAACCTCCAGACCAAAGTGCTGTACAGGCAAATAAACAAAACAAAACATACAAAAAGTAACACAGCTCAGCTCACACACCATAAAACAAGTACAAGTAAAAACAATAGACAATTTAAAAGCAATAAAAGCAACGCTCTAAAAGATGTTAATACGCTAAGGAGAAGAGGTGGGTTTTAAGAAGCGATTTAAAAGCAGGCAGTGTGGCGGCCTGTCTGATGTGCAGGGGCAGATCGTTCCACAGTGTGGGAGCCGCTACAGAGAAGCAACGGCCCCCTCTGAGCTTTGACTTGGTTCTGGGCACATTCAGTTGATGATAGATCCGAGGAACATTTTGAATATTTGCATCTGGATACTGCTTGTAGCCTCAACATGTATTTATTCTAATTACTTCCTGTCCTCTCACAGTGAGGTGGAGCTCTTGCTGCTGGACCAGCGCGAGGTGTGGGCTGCAGAGGATGGCTGGCTGCTGTTCGACCTGACCGCCACCAGCAACCTGTGGCTGGTGAACCCGGAGCAGAACCTCGGGCTGCACCTGGTGCTGGAGGACAGCCACGGTCAGTCACTAACACACATTCACACACTGAGAGAGACCCATGACAGCAAGAAACTGTCCTTGTCTGGAGAAATGATTTAATGCTGTTCTATTCCAATGGAAAAAAGGAGCATCACATATTGAGTAAATGTTTTTAGATGGTTCTTACAGAGTTTAAGTTATGATTGTGCATTCAAATGAACACATGATTGTTTAGCAGAGGCTTAAATGTGTGTTGCAGTCCTTGGTTGGTTGAGACTCACTAGTTTTGTCCCCCTGTCTCCCTCTGTAGGCCAGAGGAGGAACCCCCATCTGGCGGGGCTGGTGACGGGGAACGGGTCTCAGGAGAAGCAGCCCTTCATGGTCGCCTTCTTCAAAGCCAATGAGGTGCGATTCCGCAGCGTCCGATCCGCGCACAGACACAAGGGGCGCCAAGGGAACCGCTCCAAACCCCAGAGGACGGTCCAAGACGCACTGAAAGCCGTGGAGGCTGCAACAGGTGCCCAGAAACATACTATCACATAGACTCTAGTCATGGTTTACTGGCAGTGTCCTTTAATACTTTTTTAAATAGATCTATTGGGCGTTATTATTTATAGGGAATTATAATACATCCATAATGAAACTACACTCATGAACACACACACTGACGCACTATATTGGCAGTCATAAAACATTATAGATGCTACTCATAAGGAATTATAAGTGGAAGCTCTTGACTATTTAAAAGCTCTGAGTGAACTGAAGGGCTTATAATACATTATGACTACCTATACTCACCTATACAAACCTTCAGATGTAATAAAGACTCATTGCGATGTTCCATAGTCCATCCAGTATCACAAGTTATCAATGTTTGTGGAGTATAAAGTGATGAATTTATAATAATGCATGCAACACTTCATTGTTGGTATTCAGTCAAATGTAATGCCTGCATTTAAAATAATCTATATTGCATCATTTGGGGTTATTATGAAAGACGCCTGAAAGAATTAGAAGTAAAAAATACACAGTATAACTAAATTATTCAGAGAAAATATTAAATACAATTTGTCAAGCTGAGTGAAAATATAGAAGTATTTTCTTAGTTAGAATATATAATGTTTGTTTTATACCTTAAGGTTCTGTGTCCAGCAGAACATGTTTACTTGTAGTACTCTTTAGATGTTAACATAATAATAACTTGCGATGCAGCGTGTAAAAGCATTTAAAATAATGATCTCCTGATGCATTATAGATGTGAGAGTGTTACTGATGTTTGTTTACTTTCTCATACTTACATCTTTTCCATTTCAGATACCCTCAGCCTCTCCAAAGAGGGATGTAAAAAGCACGAGCTGTATGTCAGTTTCAGAGATTTGGGATGGCAGGTATGATTCAGATCTTCCATTTGATCTCATTTCAATTTCATGTCCAAAAGTGACAATTGGCTTACATTTGCTGGATGCTTTAATCCAACCAGGACTGGATCATCGCACCAGAGGGCTACGCAGCGTTTTACTGCGAGGGAGAATGTGCCTTCCCTCTCAACTCCTACATGAACGCCACCAATCATGCCATCGTGCAAACTCTGGTAAGTCCCAAACAGCCCCCATCATGATGACAGGCACTTTCACTACCACCTCCACTTCCTGTGAGCATTGATTTATGCCTCTTCTGTCAACAGGTGCACTTTATCAACCCGGACACGGTGCCTAAGCCCTGCTGCGCCCCCACCCAGCTCCACGGCATCTCAGTGCTCTACTTTGACGACAGCTCCAACGTCATCCTCAAGAAGTACCGCAACATGGTGGTCAGATCCTGCGGCTGCCACTGACCGCTGCAACCCCCTCCTGTGAGTTCGTGAAAAATCTGGAGGGACGCTGAAGAAAGGCAGAAGCGAAAGAGCCAGAGACGAGATGATTGACATGCTGGTCATCAGGGAGCTCCTGCCACAGGATGAGCTTTAATCTGGAGAACTGTTTTTATGAGCAGCAGCTGAGCCTCACATGCAGTATGAACCACTACCACAAACCTTTCCAAACTTTTGGTAACAAAGAAAGGATGAACAAAGGGGTTTGTTTTCCTTTCCTTTTGAGATTGACTAGAAAAAGTGCACTAAAAGGACACTGAGCAATGTGGAGCTACTTCAGAGACTCAAATAAAACATTCAGTGCTAGCAACAGAAAGTAAAAACACATCTATCTGCATTTAAATGAAGGGTCTTCTTGCATTTAGAATATAAAACACTGCCTGGGTGGACACGTGCATTAGGTAACTGATTTAACAGCTTGTGAAACTTTAAAATCTCCATCTTCCTGTTGAACCTCTGCACCTTTCCTTCAAGAACAGCTGGATGAATTTATCTCTGATGAGAGAAAAAAAAGCTTTGATTGTTCAGCAGGACATTTGGACCGCGTCAGGTGTAAGACATCTGGACGCTGGCGTGTGTGCCGCTGATGTGGAGGAGCTCAGAGAAGAGTGGCAGCTGAGACTGTTAATAACAGGGTTGGACTGAAAGGCTGCTGGTGGATCTAGTTTCCTGGTGCAGCACGATGCATGTGAGAGACGTGCAATCTGCGAGAGTCGGTGATTCATCTTCATGTTGACACCAGGGTGTGCACCACCTCTGCAGCTGCCTCCTGTTGTGGGCAGAGGGGAAACTGTAATTTTATTTTTTCAGATTTAAGTAGTTAAATAAATGGGAACTATAAAACAAGAGGCAGGTGTGTGTTCAACCTAATTTGCCCTCAATAATGTTGTTAACAGTTGCATTGAAGCACCTTGGATACTTCAAGGAATTCATGGTTTGTAGAGATTTATGACAAAAATATGCAGAAACTTTACACATATTTATTTAACAGTGCGAAATCGTTTCACAAGGTAAAGACCGGATCTGTCTAACCCTCACCCTGCATTTCCATTTGCAGAATGTCATTCACTTTGATTGTGCATTAGGTTCATTGTAGAGAATAACAATGCAGCCAGGGGAGGGGGGTTATATTCAGGGGGAAAAAATACGAGAAAAAACACAAATGTATGGGACAAAAACTTTTAATAATCTCTGAAGTCAGAATTGACTTCTGTAAGGAAAAATAACTTGACAACAGACTATGCATTTTATATTTCCGAAGCTGATTGCAAATGTATAGAATTGCAGGAAATGTGTGACTTTAATCTCAATAAATATTATTAGGGTTTTCTTTTTGAATTTGTGATTCCTCCTTAAAGTGGACCTATCATGCTATATTTGAATACTATAGTGTAGGACCATACCTATATAAGGCATATTTATACTTTTTTTTTTTCAAAATACCAAACAGATCATGCATTTTAGCCATGCCTCATTTTGCTCAATTTGAAAAATGTTAGCTCTGTTTTTGCAAGGGCTGATTCTGTGAGAACAGCACCATCCACAGGCCTGGCATATGTACTACAGTGTCTCCAGCGCTTTCAAACGGCAATGGCCGTGGCTGTCTCCTCCTGATTGGTGGAGTTGGCCCAATAGCCGTAGCGCCACTGTCCTGACGTCAGGACAGTGTTCAAATCTGGATCAGTTTTGATCAGATCCGTTACAGCCCCTTTTTTTAGAGATTTGGGTATGGAGGAAAAGAGAGAGGGTTGTGTTTTCTGACACTTGGTGAGTTCCCTGGAACACTGGGGACACATATTCATGTATAAAAGACGTACAAAAGTGCATTTTGCATGATAGGTCCCCTTTAATTTAACATTTAAATGTCAGAGATTCAATAAAGTCATAATTTGAAAAATGTGATATATAATATTATTATCTGAAAATATGACACCCCCCCCCCCTTTCCTGGCTCTGTACTGTTACTTTAAACCTACATTGTCCCGACACGTCAGCGTACCGTTCTCCACTCACCGATTGTGCTTCTGAAGTACTTTGAATGGCACAAGCATCTCCTCTAAAGAACAGGCCATTCAAAATGAAGCTTCAGTACAAAAGCAAAGCAGATATAATAGAGTGCAACAACAACCAGGCAAAAAATGCATTCACACTGACATTCACTGAGAAGCTGAGCGCTTCCAACGCAGCACATTACAACACAGCCCACACCGTTAAAAAGACCTTAAATATATATCTTAATAGAAAAGAGGTAGAAGCGTAAAACTTAATCCTACAGATGCAATCTCAAACCATTTTATACTATCAGAAACTATTCTGTCATTCTAGCAGTATGTCTCAAATCAAACCTCATTATTAATGATAGAGGAGTCTTACATAAGAATAGATGTAACTTTAAATGATATGATCAGCATGAAGGACCTGAGGGAGTATTTTCCTGTGCTTTAAAAAGCAACGTGGGCTGATTTTGTCAGAACGGCTTTCAATAATAAAACCCAAAAATATAATTTGAGCCTACAAGATGAAGCTCAATTCACTCTCATGGGAGCATCTTCCGGTGGCAACTTAGATGTACAATTGAGTTTGACTCAACTTAAATATCCAGTGTTTAATCCCTGACTACCGTAACAGCAAATTCAGAAATCCTGAGAGTTCATCTTTTCCTTCCTTTTACCCCTAGATACAATTAAAAAATACGACAGTCAAGCACAGATATGATTCAGGAGGTAGAAAGAAGGTAAATATAGGCGGATTAAAGCAGAGTTTAGAGAGACTGACATGCTTCCTGTCTTTAAAACAGGAACCCCTCCTCACTTCATGCAGTTCGTCCCCAGGCCCCTCAGCTCAGGGGCCGAACAGTGTCTCCTGCGGACTGTCTCGCCCTTCTTCTTAGGTCCCTCTGCTAACCCCAGTCCTTGTTGTGATGCCTTCAGGGACTCACACCCTCCCTCTGACTTCCTGGGTGAGGTCTTTGGCTCCAGGGTGGCTGATGGGGGAGGCTGGGGGGTTGAGATGGGGGTGAGAGCCAGGCAGATGTCCCCTACACTGAGCTGACGGCAGTGCAGGCCACAGAGACGAGCCGTCCTCAGGGGGTTGCAGGAGGACCAGCCCCTCCCTTGCACAAAGAACGGGTACTCCACGTAGACATCCACCAGCTCCTGGAGGAGGACACACAGGAGGGAGGATGAGACACACGTGTTCACTAGAGGGCGCTACTGGACCAGTGAGTTTTTAAACATGCTAATCATTTAGTAGATTCAATCATAAGATATTTGCCTCTGATACCCCTGATATATAACTGATCATATTTCAACATACACATCACTAAATTGGCTCAAGGCGCAGTTCATCCTAAAAACATGCTTTTACCTGTAGTTCAATCTCGGTTGTTTTGGCCATACCTTGGCAATACTGGCAGTGGAGATGTCTGCCCTCTCTCAAATATTATGGAAGTAAATGGCATCCGCCCTGTGGTGCTCAAAGCTCCATTGAAAAAATATCAACCCGCAATGTCTCTTTACAGAAATCATGACTGGTTAATCAAGATAATCTACAGACCTCGTTGTAAGCAGTTCTTTGTAGGAACTTTTTTCTTTCTGCTGAACTACAACCCCCTTTAGGTTGTTTTGCAGCTTTATAAACTGCAAAACAATCTAAATAAAAGTCAATACCTTCAGTATTTTGGTAATAACTAAATGTGTTATACATCTTCACTGTGTGTCAGTCAGTCCCTTGCATTTTTGCAAACTATAACATGGTCACAAAAATAATTTAAAGTGGACCTATCATGCTATATTTGAATAATATAGTGTAGGACCATACCTATATAAGGCATATTTATACTTTTTTCTTTTCAAAATACCAAACAGATCATGCATTTTAGCCATGCCTCATTTTGCTCAATTTGCACTTTTTTTTAGCTCTGCTCTGCAAGGGCTGATTCTGTGAGAACAGCACCACCTACAGGCCTGGCATATGTACTACATCGTCTCCAGCGCTTTCGAACGGCAATGGCCGTGTCTGTCTCCTCCTGATTGGTGGAGTTGGCCCAATAGCCGTAGCGCCACCGCCCTGACGTCAGGACAGTGTTCAAATCTGGATCAGTTTTGATCAGATCCGTTGCAGCCCCTTTTTTAGAGATTTGGGTATGGAGGAAAATAGAGAGGGTTGTGTTTTCTGACACTTGGTGAGTTCCCTGGAACACCGGGGACACATATTCATGTATAAAAGACGTACAAAAGTGCATTTTGCATGATAGGTCCCCTTTAAGTTAAAAATGAAAATGCTGCTGGGTATTATTTTTAGCAAACATTACACAAACATAAGTACTTGGTGCAGATGGGGACTATTTTCAGCTGCAAATTAACACACATGGTGTGAACTAGTGTATTTTGGCACATGGACTGTGTCTGAGGGAGTGCACATGTTCATTGTCACCTAGTTCTGGGTTATTTATGCATTTTAATAATTATTGGGAAATGGAGTTCTATGGCAAAGAGGAATATGGTACATCAAGCTTTGGCTTCAGAGTACATTCTTTGTTGGTTTTGGTCTTTTTGTTGTATTTGCTTACTATAAAACAATGTAAATTACTATAATGTGTGCTATATATTGTAACCACTTTCATTCAGTAGTGCTTAAATATCAAGACGGCATCCCCCATCAGCCAGAATGCAACATTTTGTGCATGTATTACATAAGAAAACGAATTACAGCTACGTGTGAAGTATCCGTTGTGAATGGTGAATACTACAGAGTGGTTTCCCCTCACCTGGGACTGCTGGTCGTGAAGCAGGATGAGTAAGCGGGAGATGGAGATGGAGGAGGAGGAGGAGGCTGAGGGGGAGATGCTCTGCACAGTGCAGCAGCTCAGGCGTAAGTCCGGGCAGGCCAGCGCTCCCAGCAGGAAGTCCTCCGTCTGCAGGTGCTCCACCCTCCTCAGCCGCCCG